AATCTAAAACAATTAAAAAAGGTTTTGAAGAGTAATATTAGATGATATGAAGAGTTTCCTGGAATATATCTACATACATAATGCTTAACTTGTCTAAGACTTGTAAGGAAAAAACCCAGTATCTAATTAATGTCTTAATGTGAAAGCATAACCGTATGAAACAATCATTCTTTCTAATATACATTTCTATTCATTCTTCTCGATTCGAAGTAAACTTTAGAATAGATTACTTTATAAAAACTGGGGGCTGACATAAAGTGTAAATATCACTAATATCCAGTTAGTTAAATTATTACGTCAACCTTTCGTCTAGTTCACTTATAAGTATTATACATAGTAATAGATATCATTTGTAACAGTATTATGATCTCATAAATTCTGAAGGGGTCTTTTTTGGATATTACAGTAATTTTAATAGTTGAGATCATGATTCAATTGAAGCTAGATCACGATTGGAAAACCTGAAAGCACTGGGCGGCCGTTTCATCCTATAGCGGGACTCCTCGTAGATTAGCTGAAGTTAGACGGTTTAGTGCTCTTAAGGTTAAGCGTTCGCGCGTGAGGCTGATAGATCCTGGGTTCGAATCTCTCAAGCGCGTTCGTGGATGCGCACTGTGTTTCATAACTTTCTAGAACACAAGTATCATTTTGAATGAATTCTAATCCTGTCTGGAAGTTGACGGAATTGTATCATTCTATTGGTTTTCTTCTTGATTTTTAACATGATTCGATCTTTGATACTGTTTAGATATTGTGATATTCTAATGAAATGTAATGAATTATCAGAACTATAGAAGTGGAATATACTAAGCTCATTATATTACTAATGATACTTAACACTAAGAATTAATTACAATCATGTATATCAGTTTATACGGTCTTACTTCGAATCTAAATTGAAAAACTAAAATTCATCGAAAAACGGAATATCGAAATAACCTATCAAAATGGTGGAAGACTAATAAATAAACGAACTGTAGTGAATGAGAACACCAAATGGGGACAATCGAATGTATTTAGGCATATAATTACAGAGCATCTCAATCAAATCTGTGAACCATATATAGTAAATTGTTAATTCGTAAAATATCAATCCATCATATCAAAATTTGATTGTACCTGTTGCCAACATCAATCGATTGTCTCAGATTTCATCGTTCATGCATTTTCATGCTTAATTACGTTTCATTCCCGTTCTTTCCTCATCGACCTTCTACTGAAATATATTCTATACCCGACTACCGTTATATACTATTTGTGTGGATATAAGTAAACCACATTACACTCGTCCCCCCTTTAAAGCATTCGTTCTTGCGGTGGTTCATGCTCACCGTGCGACATTCTTCTTTTGTGCAGTCTGTGCTACGCCCTCCGTTAAAATGTCGAGTCTGCGGCGCGCTGACCTCCATAGCTCCGTAGACCTGCCGGGGCACCAACATCCGACATCCACACGGCACCTGGGACGTTTATCACCCGTGCTCCACCGGCGTACTGAGCCACCTACATCCGATGTCCTCCCATCCTATCAAATTTGACTGTTCCTGTTGCAAACATCGATCCATTGTGTCAGATTTGATTGTCCATGTATTTTCACACCAATGGCGTTCCTTACGTTTATGTTCTCATCATCGACCTTCTACTGAAATACATTCTATGCTTGACCATCGTCATATACTACTTGTGTAGACATAAGTAACCAACACCACAAAACGTTCAATTATAAGATCGTATTAAAAGTTAACCAAATAATGGTTTCATTATTGTCTGTGGTATCGATTTAATGTAACTTTTGATGTATTATGAGAGCAGGACTTTAAAGAGTTGAACAAGTTCAGAGAGCTAAATATATATAACTTAGTTGTGTTAATGAAATCATCAAAGGGGAATTGAAGTATTTGAAAACCGTAGAATATATATAAAAGGGAACGACTGATTGAAAATAAAAATTGAAACTGTGGTATGGGTTACTTATATCCACACAAGTAGTATATAACGTTGGTCAAGCATAGAATGTATTTCAGTAGAAGGTTGATGAGGAAAGAACGGGAATGAAACGTCATTGGTATGAAAGTACATGAACAATCAAATCTGAGACAATCGATTGATGTTGGCAACAGGAACAGTCAAGTTTGATATGATGGATTGATATTTTACAAATTAACAATTTACTATATATGGTTCTCAGATTTGATTGAGATGCTCTGTAATTATATGCCTAAATACATTCGATTGTCCCCCCTCTGTGTTCTTGTTCACTACAAAACTACAGTTCATATTAATGTTATAAAAGAGTTATTACTGAAATGTATCATGAATGTGAATTTCTAGTTCAAGGGAGAAATATATAAATAATCAGATGGTGTTTCAATGGGTTCACCACTGGGTCTTATACTAGATGACATTTTTCTAGCCAAACTAGAAAATAGTGCACTAAAAAAAAGATTATTCAAAAATTCATATTTTACTGTAGATATATGGATGACTCATTCATCCTCTGTAAAGATAATACGTCATATCAATAGGTTCTTAGACGATTTAATGAAGTACATCCAGCCATTCCGTTTACATCTGACGAAGAGAGAGTGATAATCGAATAGCCTTTTAGGATATTCTTTTAACTAAGAGAAAGGATGAATTGTTATAAAGGAACTTAAACAGAAAAAGTATATGGACTAGGCAGTATACTCACTTCCTTAACTTTGAATCTCTACAGTACAAACGAAACTTGATCAAAACTTTTAGTTACCGAATACGCACTATTTGTTCTGTGGATATAGTTGAAGATGAACTTAACACGTTTATGGACAATGGTTACCTTAAAAAGTTTATAATTAACTATGTGATCACGAAGGTGAAAATAGGCGAAATACAAACGGTGAAGAAGAAATCCCTGTTCATGCGTCTACAATACTAAGGGGATACTGAATAGTGAAGTATTAACTCAGAGATTACGCAGGAAAATACAAAAATCTTTTAACGCCGGAGAACTTTGATTAGTGTTTTCTACGTGCCCAATGGTGACACCGAGTCTTAAAGATGAGTTACCTAGAATGACCACCTCATTTTGTATTTGTCAGTTCAACTACTCCTGTGAAGCAAGTTATATTGGTCAAAGTTCTAAGAATTTACACATTCGTTCTTGCGAACACTTCCCAGAAAGGCTAAGCAAAGGTCTGGTGAACAAAGTGAATAGTCCGATATTGGCCCATTTTAGTTCAAACTGGTCATAGTATCAGTATAAACCAACCCTTTTCAATTATTTATCGGGTCAGTAAATTTTCGCCAAAGCTTGTCAGACTTAAAGTCTTTCAAACGGCTGAAGCAGTAGACATCCGGATGAAGAAACTGGAGCTATGAGTACAAAAAAAATATCTTTAACCGCTTCTCCTCTCCTGGACAATCTCAAAGCGAATTAATCAATAGTAATCTTAGCTATTGAATGACGTAATTTGATTATTATACTTATGACCTTTCATAATCAAATGTAATTGTCTCGGCTATTCATCTCCCCAATACATGATCCATTTACTTCTCATTCGCCCCACCTTATTATATCTTACTAATAACTTTTCACACAATGTAGTCTTCCATTAAACATCTGATCGAATTGTAATTGCACTATTATCTCTGTCTCTCTCATCCTATCTGATCTATATTTATTCTTATCATGGATCTTAAATTTCCATTTAACATATAAACTGATTAAATGGTTTGAATTACTTTTCTGGTTAGCGTTTTTTTAGCGAATACCATCAACAACAGCCTTTTCTAGGAGAGAACTAACCAGCTTCCAGCTGAAGAGGAAATTAGGAAAAGACGATGGAAATGGATAGGAGATACATTACGAAAATCACTAAACTGCACCACGAGACAAGCGCTAACTTGGAATCCTGAAGGGAAGCGGAAAAGAGGATGGCTAAAGAACACATTAGGTCGGGAAATAGAATCAGATATAAAAAGGATGAATAAGAACTGGAAAGAGCTGGAAAGGATTGGTTAGGACAGGGTTGGATAGAGAATGCTGGTGAGCGGCCTATTGTCCTTCACGAGGAGTAACAGGCGTAATTAAGTAAATAAGTAAGTAAGCAATATAAACTGATTCAAGTTAACATTCTATATGAATCATATCAACAGTAACAATTTTATTTTCAATTGAGAAAGGGTTTTTGTGAATATTATAGTAAGTGAACAGTTGAGTTCAGGAGTCGATTTAAGCTAGACTATCATGAAAAACTTGAAAGCACTGGATTGCCATTTCATCTTATTGTGGGATTTCTCAGCAGTGCACATTCATGATCCCATCCCGCAGGATTCGAACACAGATATTTAGTCTTTTTAAAAAAACTACATAATTAAAACAAATTTTGATAGGGATTAGTAATAGAATCTAAGATTCTCTTTTCATATTATTTAGGATTCATCAACTGAATGTACACATATCTCAAATATTGAATTGAATCATGTATGTTTCACTTCAATTATTCTATTTATCATTTAGTTATCTATTAAGTTCAAAGATAAATTATATATAATTTCAATGGTTAAGATCATGAGTCAGTGGAAGCTAGACCACAACCATGGAAAACCTGGAAGCACTGGATGACTGTTTCGTCCTACTGTAGGACTCCTCAGCAGTGCGCATCCATGACCTCGCCACCTAAGAGATCCGAACCTAGGACCTACTCGTTTCATGCGCGAGCACTTAAACAACTAGACCACTGCTGAGGAGTCTTATAATAGGACGAAATGACCATCCAATGCTTCTAGGTTTTCCAATGGTGGTCTATCTTTAAATCTCCACAAAACCTATTCTGATAATTGTATATAAATTCTATAGAGAAAGTACTTTATGTACTAAATGAACTTTGGGTTTTATCATTATAATTAATCACAGTTTCAATAAACAACACACATAGATGTACCTAAATACACATAAAAACGTTTCATAAATATTCTATAATACTTTTATTATGTTTTTTTTTCTTTTTGAGGTTAATAATGAAAAGTTAAATTCTGATTGGTTGAAATGAATGGCGCACTTTAAAATATTCGTTTATTTAAAAGACAGTGATCTAGACAATCATACATAAATCACTATATATAGATATGGATCTGGATTTGAATTTGGATCTAGATCTGGATCTGGATTTAGATCTGAATATACATTGTTAATAATATTTTGGATCTTGTTGAATGTCTATTTTATATGTTTAAAGAAAATTAATTCTGTATCCAAATATAAAACATTTAACAACAACTAAAAACAACAACAAAAAAAAAGAAAAAAAGAGAAAAAAGAAAAGAAAAATGAAAAAATTTTTTGATTTTTCATTGATCATTTTCTTTTTACATTTATTTTTAATTAAAAAATCAATAGAAAATCAATTGAATAATACAACACAAAATTTATTACAATTTAATACAGATTATATAAAAATTCATGATCAACCAATACGTATGTGTGGTAATGAATTTTTAAAAAATCTTAAACATGTTTGTTCTATACGTGGAATTTATACACCAATAACTCGTTTCAAAAGATCCTCCTTCTCCTCGTCGTCGTCGTCGTCGTCGTCTTCGTCGTCCTCGTCGTCCTCCTCTTCATCATCATCACCAACATCAGAACAATATTATCGTAAGTTATTATGAATCGTTTATTGAAATGTTCAATAATCAGTTATCTCCATTGTCAGTTATTGCATTCTAAAGTTTAGTTTATTATGATACCATGTATAAGTTGAGAGCTTGATGGCTAAAACCCTCTTCAAGTCGTAAATGAGATGATAGAAATCAAGTGAGAAGAATATTATTCCAAAATAATGTCATTTATAGTTTAGAAATGTCAGATATTTATATTTGGTGGATTAGTTGAAGTTAGACATTAAGACCATTGGATGCCGACTTGCTCACTGGTCTAGTGGTTAAATTCTCGCGCGTGAAACCACTAGGTCCTGGGTTCAAATCTCGCAAGGGGCGATGTCGTGGATGCGCACTGCCACTGAGGAGTCCCATAATAGGAAGAAACGATCGTCCAGTGCTTCCAGGTTTTCCGATGGTGGTCTAGCTTCAACTGACTCATGATCTTAACCATTGAAGTTATAGCTTATTAGTTGAGAAGATTTGTAGCCCAGATGTATGATTTTGATGGTGTTTTGTTCTCTGAGCTGGATGGTTTAGTCTTGGAGTTATCATGATTCATCTGAACAACATCATTATCAGTACACAATTCAGATAGAAGTTTATTAGTAAAAACGAAATCATTATTATAGTTCTTTAATCCGCATACAAAGGGTTATTAGCATTTGTCTAATAAGAAAGCTACATGTAGAGATTCTGGAATATTCTTTTAAAAGATGATAAGATAAAATATCTTCGGCTCTTCCTTGAGTTCACCCGTGGACCATCCTCACATTTAGGGAACTTAAAGGGATCATTGTATAAATGGTAGGATTATTGATAAATTCGAACTAATGTATTAACTATGGATTATTTCCTTCTATTGTCTAATGATATCTATTTAGTAACTGTTTATATATCCGCATAATTGATGTTGACATGATATATTTTCGGGTTGATCTCCCTGACGAAACAACAAAATTACAGATCATAAAATTAGCTAGTAGACTTATGAAATGACAATTTAGTGGGAATTTCATTAAAATAATCGACATTTCTCCTTTTGATGATTAAAAGTTCCCGAAGATAGTCTTAAACATCCCGAATATACTATCGAATAGGCATTTACTGTCATATTATATAACAAAACAATTGGGCCACTTGATACAACTGTTTGGATGACAATTTTTCATTGATATTACTAATTGAATAGCTAATTAAAAAAAAGCCTTCTATTACCACCTCATTTGATAGTCATGTTACTCATAATTCTACGTTACTTCATAAATGATTAGAAACTATGAAGCTGAGGATAGTAGTTTTCTTGACGGTAGATGTTACTTGGTCTCTATAAAACTTTTAAATTACTGAACAAACTAAAGGCAATTCAAAATGTAATTCTACACTGTCTATTCACAAACGATACTAATTTCATTCTTCATTTACTTGATGCTTATTGGTCACAGTGTTTCACTAGAATTTTAAGAAGTTTCTTTTTAAAGCTACTTATGATTGATGGTGGTTGCTTTTCAGTGTTCTCAAGGGCCATTGTCACTGGGACATTATAAGTCACGTCGGCATTGCTAACATTAATGAGTTTGATTGTTGTGTAAGCGGAATAGGTCAACTTTGGCCTGTTCGTGCTGTGATCCATGGGATCGTTGATCGGAATAACTATACATGCGACGTGTATGTGTATATGAATCATGCGAATAGTCCACCAGGGTGCTTGGTACCTATGTGGTCGCGCTACAGGATTGAGCTGTACTATTCAGGTAGTAGCGTTAAAGCCTATATGGTATCTGGTTCTCCTGTGAAGCTAGATTGAGCTGTTCTGCTCGGGTTATAAAATTTAGGCGTGGATGGTGTCTGGTTTTCCTGAAAACCAATATAAAACTACTCTGGCCCACAAGGATATATTATATAACTATACATTTATATAGACGACAAAATAAGTGGATACCTAACGATTGAAATGAATAGAATATTTTAATTTATTAGTATTAGTACTATTACTACTCATACCACTATTACTCCTACTACTACTACTACTACTACTACTACGACTACTACTACGACTACTACCAACACTACTACTACTACTACCACTACTACTACTATTACTACTACCAACGCTACTACTACTACTACCACTACTACTACTACTACTACTACTACTACTACGACTACTACCAACACTACTACTACTACCACTACTACTACTACTACTACTACTACTACTACTACCAACACTACTACTACTACTACTACTACTACCAACACTACTACTACTACTACTACTACTACTACTACTACTACTACTACTACTACTACCAACACTACTACTACTACTACCAACACTACTACTACTACTACTACGAATTGTACTCCTGTGATCTTTTGTTTGTTGTTGATGAAATGATATGTTTTATTATTCATTGAATTGTATAAAATCTCTCCAAGAATAAATAGATCTTATTTCATTTATATAAATGACAATGTTTCATGGTTTAATTACAGAAAAACAAATGAGTAAATTGTTTAAATTATTGAAGTAAACAACATTAATGCTTAATAATAAATATTTAGACATGAATGTGTTGGGGATGTTAGATCCATAGAATTCACTTGGTAAATGCCTTATGTTTACTTTCATATGGTATTTACCAAATGGATGGACCTTAAATGTTATTGATCTGTTATCTGTTTTAGTATGATATTTTGTAATGTCTTCCAACGACATGTTTATGTTGTATATATATAGATGCTTGAGTTGTTGTTATTGTTATTGTTTATGCTTCTGAATGCTTGTAGAATATGTTTCCCTCTTCTGAACTTGAACTGGGACGCATAAGAATAGTTAGCTTATTAGTCATTATTTCACCCACTTTTGATTCTATTCTCAAATTAGGTGAATTTGTAATCTCTTCAAACATAGCATATTTGGCAACCGAGATGGGATTCGAACCCACACGGGAAAACTCCAATCAATTAACAATAACTAACTTGAATGAATGAAGTGAAATTTCTCATTTGCTTTTTATTAACTTACCCATGGAAACAATTTTTATTTTGCTCTTAACTAATGTCTATTCATTTAAGGAAAAAAAATGGGGGGGGGAGGAAAAAAGAAGATAAATAAATTTTGATTTATATATTAGACTGTTTTTTTTTATTTGATTATTTCATAAAATGTCAAGTATTAATGTAGATATTACGTAATAGACATAATAATAATAATAATAATAATAATAATAATCATCTATGATATGAATTAAAACTAGTGGGAAGTAAAAAAGAAAAGTTTTCTGGTTGATGAGGAGGAGGATGAGGATGATGACGATGTTGATGCTAGTGAGGATGATGAGGATGATGCTGGTGAGGATGATGAGGAGGATGTTTACAATTACGTATATTTATGTATATACAATGAAAATGACCAAATCAATTTATAAAAAAAAAGAAAAAAACTAGTTTAGATTGGTTCATTGATTAAAATGACTGAATGAAAAGTTAGAATTATCATTTTTATTTTATTATTAGAATATAATCATTTATTATAGAGAATATGGTTATTTATGATACCCCTATAAATTCATAAACATGACTAATGATCTTAACTATTGAAATTACTACAATCTCTATAAAACCCCTTTTGATTCTAATCCACATATGCTCACTAGTGACTGGCTTCAAAAGGTATATGCTGGAGTTCTAGTGAGAAGTAGTGACTAGTGGAGTTCAACCAGGTCTGTTGTGAGATAGTAACTCACTGAAGACAATGGTGAATGTGTTACTCAAATTTAGTGGATTAGTTGAAGTTAGATATTAAGACCGTTAAATGTCGGCTCAATGGTCTAACAGTTAAGCATTTGCACACAAGACCGATAAGTTCTGGTTCCGAATCTTGCTGGGAGGAGCGGGATTATGGATGCACACTACTGAGGAGTCCTATACTAGGATGAAACGGTCATCCAGTATTTTCAGGTCTAGCTTCAATTGACTCATAATTTCAACTATTCTACTTTCGTTAAATCTTATAGGCAGTGACTATTTCCCTGAACTTTTATTCAGATGTGTTATCAAATGAATTAGATGCACTTAGAAAATATTCTTTTTCTTTTCTTTATATAAAAATTAGTTTCTTGAATGAAATATACTTTTTTGTCACTTATCAAATAGAAAAACAAATAGTGAAAGTGTACTATTAACTTGATTAACTATGCACTATTGAATGTATACTGTGTATTCAATTTGTCATTCTTATTATTTTAGTTATTAAAGAATGATGAAGTGAAAATTATTAAGTGAAATGAAGAGGTTATGGATCATTTCTCTATTGATGATGATCATCTTATTTATTTATTTATTTTAACACATAAATATTGGTACAAGAGGGCACCAGATATATATGTGCCTGTGATACTGCCCTGGTGCCCAAACCGAAGCAGGTGGTTTTCTTAGGGGGCCACACCCCGAGCCTTCGACCTGAAAGTCTGAACCACAAGGCAGTGGAGCATCGTGAGGAGATGCATTCCCATGGTAGCCGGTGACCAAGAAATTGGTTTGTATGCCATTTGTTCTCGCAGGATACTGGAGCCAGCCCATGTGCACCATTGGTTTTTGATCCGGTTAAAGCCGGTGACGGACATTCGCTTTTCTTCCTCTCATTTTCGTAAACATCACCCGTGGTACGAGGAGGTAGAGAGTAGGACTTCCCTGGAAGAGGCTGTATACGCGTGGCCATGTGAGAGCATTTTTCGAGGGAGAGCGGACTTTCCCCACTGTCGGCCGTACCAGGGCATTTGGGGGACATGGATAATTTCTCTATTGATGATGATCATCTAAATGATAGAGTATATTCATATCATATAAATTGTATCCTATCCTATCATAGCATAGTATACCTTTATGAATAGTGTAAACTAACTTGATATTGTTTTAGTTGTATCTTCCTATTGTTATTTAGGATTGTAAATGATCAGTCTCTTATTAGTATATGTGCATCTTGTAAGGATTGCATTGATATTGCTTTAAGTCACAAGTTTTATAAGCAAAGATAGATAGTGGCTAGTATTGAAATCTACGATGTGCGTTTTTGTCCTATTTCGATAAAGTGATAAATATAAAGGACCAGTACATAATTAAAACTCTTCAAACATCCTAAAGCTTAATAGAAACATATTGATATACACAAAATACTTTGTATCATTACATCATTCGATCTTCTCAATGTGTTTTGAAACTGTCATTCATAAGTAATGATCTAGTGAACTCCATCTGGAATCTCTCCAATGGGGGGCTACTACCGGTCCCATACCCGGATAAAAGAGGAGAGTTGGGCATGCGGTTAGCGACTTCATCCCGTAGGAAAACTAACTCGCTAAAAAAAAACGCTAACCAGAAAAAAATTATTCAAAGTAAGTAATGATCTAGTCAATGATCAAAAGATAAAATCGAAATTTTCATTATTCAAAATGAATACTTTGTACTAGTTTTATTACAGATTATGTAATTCACGTAAATAATCTAATAACTATTTATTGTTATAAAAACAAAACAAAAACAAACAACGTCAACAACAACAACAAAGATTGATCATAATTTTTTTTCAAATGAGACTACTTATATAGATAAATAAGTAAACAACCTATACAGACACACACACACACGCACACACGCACACAATTAAGGACAAATTTATCATGTTTGTTTTGTATTCTCATTCAATATAAACATGATTTTATATTCACATAAAAGAAGTGAATATGGTAAAATGTTTACAATGACTATAACCGTTTATTTATTGTAAAGAGAAAAAAAAAGGTCATTCAGAGATTAAATAGGATATACAGTTTATTCCAAATAAAATAATAAAAAAAAACATGTCAGCTTATCCTTTTTTTCTCTCTCTTTTTTTTCTTGTTTTTTTTGTGTAATTTTAATGTACTTCTTTTCAATTTTCATTTGTATTACTGATGATAATGATGATGCTTTGGATGATGACGATGATGATAATGATGCTTTGGATGATGATGATGCTTTGGATGATGATGATGCTTTGGATGATGATGATGCTTTGGATGATGATGATGCTTTGGATGATGATGATGATGCTTTGAATGACGATGATGATGATGGTTTGGATGATGATGATGATGCTTTGGATGATGATGATGCTTTGGATGATGACGATGATGATAATGATGCTTTGGATGATGATGATGCTTTGGATGATGATGATGCTTTGGATGATGATGATGATGCTTTGAATGACGATGATGATGATGGTTTGGATGATGATGATGATGCTTTGGATGATGATGATGCTTTGGATGATCATGATGGTTTGGATGAAGACGATGTTGAGGATGATGCTTTGGATGTTTATGATGATGCTTTGGATGAAGACGATGATGACAATGATGCTTTGGATGCTTATGATGATGATGCTTTGGATGCTTATGATGATGATGCTTTGGATGCTTATGATGATGCTTTGGATGAAGACGATGATGAGGATGATGATGAGGATGCTTTGGATGATGATGATGATGCTTTGGATGCTTATGATGATGATGCTTTGGATGCTTATGATGATGCTTTGGATGAAGACGATGATGAGGATGATGATGAGGATGCTTTGGATGATGATGATGATGCTTTGGATGCTTATGATGATGCTTTGGATGCTTATGATGATGCTTTGGATGAAGACGATGATGAGGATGATGATGAGGATGCTTTGGATGATGATGATGATGCTTTGGATGCTTATGATGATGATGCTTTGGATGCTTATGATGATGCTTTGGATGCTTATGATGATGCTTTGGATGATGATGAGGATGCTTTGGATGATGATGATGATGCTTTGGATGCTTATGATGATGCTTTGGATGCTTATGATGATGCTTTGGATGCTTATGATGATGCTTTGGATGATGATGATGATGCTTTGGATGATGATGATGATGCTTTGGATGCTTATGATGATGCTTTGGATGAAGACGATGATGAGGATGATGAGGATGATGAGGATGATGATGCTTTGGATGATGATGATGATGATGCTTTGGATGACGATGATGATGATGGTTTGGATGATGATGCTTTGGATGTTTATGATGATGCTTTGGATGAAGACGATGATGAGGATGATGAGGATGATGATGCTTTGGATGATGATGATGACGATTATAATAATAATAATAATAATAATAATAATAATAATAATAATAATAATAATAGTAATAATAATAATAATAATCAATTATTAATTGTCATTCAATAATTTGCATATGATTTATATCATGAATCAATTGATCATTTATTCATTATGAATGAATTCCCTTCTTTACTTTCTTCTTCTTCTTCTTGTTCTTCTTTTTCTTTGTTAATATCATTCACATGAATCCTGTTTTTCTAATAAACTATAGAAATTAATTAGATGATTGTTTCATGGATTATTTTTATTTTTCTCTTTATAAATGGATAATTTACTGATTCATTATTGATCCTGTTTATAGTGAATAATAAGAAATTGGTTTATTTATTTATTCCCTACCTCAATCCCTCTCTACCACACCCCACCCCACCCCACGCCACCCCACCCCACTCCACTCCACCCCCCTCATTTATTCATTAAATAAAGTCTGAAAAAAATAAAACCAGACAGTAATTATACCATAAATACAAAAATGATGGTTCATATTAATGATTTTCAATCTTAGATACAAATTAAATAAACCTAATCAAGTATCCTTAATATTCGCTTGATATTGTTTTATCTGAATCTTCCCATTGATGTTTAGGACTGACGAGTCCTAAATAGGACAAAACGCGCACTGAACTGGATTCCACTGCTAACCACTATTCATCTTTGCTTATAAAGCTTGTAAATTAAGGCAATATCGAGGCAATACACACAGTATGCACATATAGCAATATGAGAGACTGAACAATTTCAGTCCTAAATATCAATGGGAAGATTCAAGTAAAACAATATCAAGTGAATTGAGTGAAATAAATCTTCACTGATCATTATCTACCAGATATTTACAATCACTAGAGTATGATAAATAGATATTCACCTAAAATGTATCTTTTCGCTGTATCATTGTGTCTTATAATTGAGTTTACATGAGGTGCTATCTTTCAAGCATAGAGCTGAATTCATTCAATGACTATTAGCCATTATGATTTAACATTTACTATTCATAAGTTACTCACTGATGTAAAAGTTTTACAAAGACTTGACAACTGTTTAGAAAACATAGTTCATAGGCTTATTATTCTATAATAAAATATTTATTGAATTTTACTAGTAACTATATGATTGTGGAAAGTTTTTAGTGTGGCTGTTCATTTTGACATTAACTAGATCGACAATGTTATCGATGGATTTATCACTTTAATGACTTTATATCTGACTCTAATTGAATTGTATGCTGATTGTTATAGAAATATACATATCCGCTATCCTCATATGTTTCATCGACTTAAATCTCGTTGGTGAATAACGAAATTAAAGCAAGTTGAATACCAGAATGGATGTTTGAATACGTATATTTTGTACACTCATTGATCTGGACAGGAAATGAGAGAGATGAAGCGAGTAAAAGAGAACGAAAAGAAATGACGCACGGTAGAGAAGGCGAGTGAGCCACCTCTATTGAATCAATCGTGAATCGATATTTATACCTAGATTAAAATAAGCTACATACATATAATGGGTAAGATAAAAAGCGCGCACACACACACACTTACATAAAAACAGCCAGGGTTGACAACCGAATAACTTTAATAGTTGAGCTAGACCATCATGGAAAACATGAAAGCATTGGAAAAACATTTTTTCCTGTTGTGGAACTCCTCAGCACTTCACAGCTACGATCCCGCCTCGTGCCTGCTTCGGTTTGGGCACCCGGGCAGTATCACAGCCCTCACACAAATCAATTGAGATTCGTGTGGCGCATATGTACTTGGTGCCTCCTTGTACCTATACCTATGTATTAAAATAAATAAATAATAAAATCCCACCTCGTGAGATTCGAATGCGGGACCTATCGATCTCGTACGCGAACGTTTAACATCCAGATCACTGAGTCGGCATCCAACGGCGTCTATGTCTAACTTCGACTAATCCACAAAATTGAGCGACACATCCACACCTGGTCTCAATTGACTTATGATCTCAACTATTAAAATTAATATAATATCCACAAACCCCCTTTCGATATTAAGCGATTAATTAACGAGATCAAAACGTGACTCCAGAAGAATGAATAGATTAGCCTGTCCATAAGCTATAGTAAGGTATATGGGCTTAATATAATAACCGATACTAAAAGTTTATATTCATATCTAAACTCAAAACTACTAATAATGTTTCTTGGTAAATGTTTACGGCGAGACTATAATTTATGGATGAACCAATCAGATTTAGGATAACAAGTTTTGGATTTTGGAGCAAAATTCACTCACCCATTCGTTCAAATAGCGTCTTGACATTTTAGCTTATGTCAGTTCATGATAAAAACCATAAATTTAAATCCTAACCCTTACCATCAATTGTAAATCATTATTATTATTCCTTAAACTGCTTATAACCTTTACTTATCCCTATTCAGTAGGTAGACACTCTTAAGGTCATTTTGGCGTCACTTAAATGTCATCCATAAATTATAGTCTCACCATGTTTACTTAGAAAGATTTAGGTAGACAACCAGCTGTTTAACACTTAAAGACATTTTACATTACTTACAATGGATGACAATTTTTTATCACAATATTCATCATAAGAAACAACGTTAAAATTGAATAATAATAAACATATGCTCACTAGTGACTGCCTTCAAGGGGTATATCGTGGAGTTCTAGTGAGAAGTAGTGACCAGTGGAGTTCCACGAGGTCTGTTGTGAGATAGTAACTCACTGAAGACAATGGTGGATGTGTCACTCAATTTAGTGGATTAGTTGAAGTTGGACATTAACACCATTGGATACTGGCCAGCTCAATGGTCTAGTGGTTAAGTGCTCTTGCACGAAACCAGTAGGTCCTGGGTTCTAGTGTCACAAGGGGCGAGGTCGTGGATGCGCACTATTGAGGAGTCCCACAATAGGACGAAACGGCCGTGCAGTGCTTCTAGGTTTCCCATGGTGGTCTAGTTTCAATTGACTCATGATCTTAACCATTAAAATTAGAATTAACAATTCAAATATCAAGTGACATTTATGCAACATTTCAATTTATTACAATCTTACTTACATGTAGGAATATGACTCTTATAAGCAAAGAAAAATAATATTTATATACAGACCTTCATAGACAAAAAGTATTGCACTATGCACCATTCTTAAAGATGTATACACAACTAAATGCTTGACTTCCAACAGGCAATACTTCGTTAAAATTCATCGAAGATCCACAGATGCACTACGTAAAACGCTAATAGATAGAGATATACTTCATGTGTTTTTATAGAGATTATAACAACATATGTCGATGGTAATTAATTATTTTTATATATGCTGTTGGAGGTATGAAGGCGGTTATCACTTCCCGGTTGCTCACACAATGGAAAGATTCTCCTGGAGGTACCTGAAAAAGAAGATTAGATTAGAGGTGATTATAGGGACCTGAGAGCGTGAGCGCAGTGCCTCATAGGCAACTGCTTGAGGCCGCTCATACATAACCTTTCTGTAAGTAATTTTCGTGTTAGCTCCGTACTTGTTAGGACCTTACCACAGGAAACGGATATCTGTGGGATAAGCTGAGGTGTGCATTTTTAGGGTCAACCTTTTCTTACCCCACCCCTTCTTGTGGGAAGGCAGCATCGCTGTTATGTTAACCGTTTAAAGGAAACACCTTACTGCTGTCAAATCTCTGTACAGTCAGCGATACGACTTCGCCTTCAGACCTTGAGTTTGCTGCATTTAGTCTTACCGTTTTTCAACTGACCTATATGTCATTGTAGAACCTTGAAGAACGATTGTTCCAGCCAGTATAGCTCGATAAACAAGCCTAACCATCACATCAAGGTAGTAACAACGGTCAGGAATGATAAGATGATACTTCTATATTAATCTTTTTAAAACAGTTTTTATTATATAAGGCAAAAGTTATATGATATTGATTTATGTCATATTCTACTTACTTATCTCCCTTTCTCTTTCTCTCTTTCTCTCTTTCTTTCTTTCTCTATGCATATGATATAATATTTCAGATTTAGAAAGAATTTTACATCGACAAAAACGTTTTGATGATTTATGTACATTATATACAATTTATGAACCAGATCAAGTTGTAACTCAATGCTGTTGTATTGGTTGTAATCGTAACTATTTAGAACAATTCTGTAATCCAAATTAAAGAAAAAAAAATTTTATTTTTTTTTCTTTCAAGAACATTTTTTCTATTCTATAAATAAAAGAATAAAAAAAAGAGAAAAAAAGAGAAAAGAAAAGATAAAGAGAAAAAAATTTTAATTTATTTTGATTGGTTGAGAAAAAAATAAATAAATAAATAGATAAAAATTATTTTGATTCAGATGATTTTTCTTTTTTATTTTTCTTTGATTTTATTGTACTTCAGATATAACTATGCAGATATAACATTAGTCAAATGAAGTTTCAGTTTACTAAAACTGGATGTATCTTAAAGAGGGGGTTTTGTGGAGATTGTAGTAATTTCAATGGTTAAGATCATGAGTCAGTTGAAGCTAAACCTGAACCATGGAAAACCTGGAAGCACTGAACGGCCGTTTCGTCCTAGTATGGGACTCCTCAGTAGTGCTCATCCACTACCTCGCCTCTTGTGACATTAGAACCCAGGACCTACTGATTTCGTGAGAGATCACTTAATCACTAGACCACTGAGCTGGCCAGTATCCAATGGTGTTAATTTCTAACTCCAACTAATCCACGAAATCGAGTGACACATCTACCATTGTCTTCAGTGAGTTACTATCTCACAACAGACGAGGGGACGAGGTCGTGGATGCGCACTGCTAAGGCGTCCCATAATATTACGAAACAGCCGTCCAGTGCTTACAGGTTTTCCATGGTGGTCTAGCTTCAACGGACTCATGATCTTAACCATATCTCAAAAAAGTTTATTTTGTGTATAACTTTCACTTATTAGATTATTGTTCAGTTTACTATGAAAAATTTTCAATCATTATGTCGAGAGTTGGGAGAGTCAGCTCTCTCTATCGAAACGTTCTCACATGACTACGTGCATATAACTACTATCAGAGAAGTCCTTTTCACTGCCTTCTCGCGGTGGGGTTATTATTTATGAAATTGAAGTGACGAAAAGCGAATGTCCGGCACTGGCTTTAACCGGGTTGGTGGACACAGAGAGTTCACCTTGTGGAGTTGGAAAACCCTGATTCCAAACCAATGGTGTATATGGACTCTAGTATCCTGAATGAACAAATAGCTTATGAACCTATTGTTGGTCACCCGTTACCATAGGACTGCATCTCCTGACGTTGCTGCACTGCCTTGTGGATCGGACCTTTAGGTCAAAGGCTTCTGGTATGGTCCCTTAAGAAAAAACCACGTGCTTCTGTTGGGGCACCAGGGCAGTATTCTCGCCCTCACACAAATTGAATGATTTATGTGGCGAATATGTATTTGGTGTCGCCTTGTATCAATGTTAGACAGGAATGGTGTAACCAAAAGCTAATTTTGAAATCACACCTCATGGTCAGCATCTAACATGAATTATCCCTTCGACGCATCAAGGTGTTATAACACACAAAGGACATTTTTACGGAAATATATTCGTAAGAACAAGAACAGAAAATATTTTGAGACCACTACCACATGGACCAATCCATTGTAAACGATTAACTGATGCGCATTGGTTGTCTTTGACTTTGACAAAGATCGATGATCTATTCGATATTTAGTGACCCAACTGACGGATCATTTGCCTAGGTCTCAGTTATATTTCACTGGCCCTACATTCTGGCCTATTCCGTAAGAAAGTGACGAATTAAGTTTGATTCACAGCTTTTATTAGACTATCATCATGAAGGTAGTTGAAAAGATTTCTATGTTCATAAGAAAACATAAGCTAAATTGTCAACTATGATTGGAATGTATCATTTAAAATTAATACGATAAACATTAAGTTGAATATTATCAAGAATACTTAAATTCAATAATAAAACATGTGTGTTCAATTACCTATTCTCAAAAACAATTGCCAAGGAAAGAACAAGGTGTATGTTTCATTCAAAACCTAAAAGAAATGAAAACGATTGTGTCATATCCCACTGTGTTTACCAATTTAAATGTGTGTGTGTATGTGTGGTCACACATACATAGGGAGGAGCAATCGTGATCTCAACATTAGGGTGAGTAAACATGTACCTAAATGGCTGCAGAAACAAATACAATCAAGTGACCCAATAAGAGCAGACGATAAACATCCATCATCCTCTATTGCTAAACATATATATAATTGAAACAGGGCATAAGATTGATCTAAACTCAGCTTTTGTGGTATTGTATAAAAGTGTAAAAAGGGTGTATACTAAGGTTTATTGAAGCCATACGAAAAATTCAACCCCCCCCCATGTGTATTCAAAAACAGTTAGTTCTCATCCATAAACCTACCCTGGTAATATTGACTTATTACCCGTAGAGTGATTAGGTTTTGAATTGTGTTCAGGTTTCTTTTTTTGATGATTTTGATTTTTGATTATTACCCTGAAGAAGTTCAGACAAATTAACTGGACGA